CAACCTGTCCTGAACCTGCCCCACTAAAATAAAAGCGCACAGAAGACCGAGCAAAGCCTGTAGCGTGAAGCGGCTTTAAATCGAAGGCGCTTTGATGGCTCCTCCGCAGCAATCGAGCGGCATTGCTAAGGCACATCACGCAACGTAAAACCACCTTCGCCTCTGCTTGCTCCTGCTCCCCCCATCCTCTTTTTCAACAGTACCCTCCAAAACAAAACTTCACAAGCGTCTCCACAGTACAAATAAGCCATAGACCAAAAGAATTCATTCTGGTATGTCTCTCATTTCCAGGACCACTTTGCAAAGGCGGTTAAAAAACCCCAACAGTATGAAGGGACAGAGCCCAGCAGAGAGAAGTCTTAACATGCAGCCACAGCCCGTTTCAGTGCACACAAATTGTGTGAGCGCCTGGTGAGGAAACCCCACGTGCTTTGTGTGATCTTTCCAACACACAGAGCTCAGAGGGGAGGGAGGTGCTGCTGTGCATGGAGTAACCGTGGTGGAAACCCTCCTCCCAGCAGAGGAGGCACGACCGGGTCGTGCAAGGCACGGATGGCTGAGCCGGCGGCCCCAGCACCGCCGCTGCAGCGGGAGGGCAAAGGATTCTCTGGATGGCAAACACTCTTGTCCTCCAGCCTTGGCTTTTAAGAAGGCAGCACCAGAGAGTCTTCTGAAAAAGCAACAAGTGGGACATCTCAAGCCCCTGCAGCTGAGATGAAGCCCTAGAGGAACCAGCTGCTGCAAGAGCTGAGAGGGAACAAGCTAATGACAGCAGCAAAGCCAAATAAATTAAAGTCAATACTGTCTTTGCTGGAGAATGAAAGGTTAAAACCCTACCAGCAACTGCTTGGGGATATAGGCTTTTGAGGCAAAGTTGCCATTCCTTGACTGCTAATTATTATGTTTTCCAAAGATTTCATCAACTAAGTTGCATTCAACAAACTGCTATTTAATTACCAGAGTAGAATCCTGTTAATTAGCCAGCCCCAGAAGACAGCCCTTCATCCCTGTTCAGTGAAATTCCCAACTAATCCCTCCAGCAGCAGTTGTCTCACAGCCCGGGGAGCCACAGAGAGCAATTAGAGATGCCCCTGAAGTTGGGGGGAACGATCAGAGCTCATCCCGCCCCGCCACCAGCAGACGTCTTCAGCGCTGGGAAGGTGCAAGCCAGCACAAGAAGTGTAACACACAGACATAGAAAAACTATTCCTCTTACCATTTCTCAGCTGTCCCTCCTGGCTCCATTTATCCCGGCTGCTTCAGCCACAGCCCAGCCGGTGGCTCCTCTCCCCCCCGGCGCTGGTGCTCCCGCTGCATCCCCGTGCTGCATCCCCGTGCTCCCTCTGCACAGTCCGTGCTTGTGCCCGCCTAAGAGGCCGGCGGCTCTCCTTCAGCCAGCTCACCACCGTCCTCCACTTAACACCACACAGCATCAAAGCTCTTCCCAGGAAGATGCTGTGAGTGCCTTTTACAAGGTGCTATGAACATTTCTAAAGCCAGCCTGAGATCTCCCCCTACTTCTCATCTCACCTGGCTTCCCAGGATAGAGGGTTAAATCATCCCCATGTGACAGCAGCTGCACCCGGCAGACCTGGGTGGCAGGACAGGTGTTATCAAGGATACGAAGTTCCTACAAAATTCATAAAAACAGCCTGGGTAAAGGAGACAGGGGCTCCAGCTACATAAAAGGCTTCAGTGGGCCCTGCCACACCAGCAGACACCAGATAAAGCCCAAGGGCACGATCCCAGCGTGGGCAGGTATCAGCCAGGGCTCATTACCACCCCAAGAGGGAAGCAGGTTTTTTTAATTCAGCTAACGCAGCAATCCGGAGTTTCTTTGTTGTCTGTCACCATGGAAGTTAAATGTTTTAATTTTAATGTTGAAATGCCAGCGGAAATTCATATTGTGAGGAAGTTGCAGGCTCTTCTTTGATATCCATTTAAACAATGTAGATGATTTTGAAGTAGTGGGGGGTTCATTTAACCAAGTTCAATAAAGCAGGTCTCCAGGTGAAAATAATAAATATTTAAGAGACTAAAAAAAATGAACTGTTCAATATCATTTGGTATAAATGCATCTGTGCTACGGAGATCCGTAGGGATGAAAGGACAGTTAAAAAATTCTACAAAGTCTTTAAATTAATGGTTGCAAAATTTCAATATGCGATTTGTCACGTTCCTGTAAACTTGCATTACCCATTTTGATTCAAGCCCCATTTTGGGTTGTGGCATACAATATGCTGAATTTTAGTCAGAGGATTTCCATCAACCGAGATTCTAAGTAATAATAATAACAATTATCACCAGAATTAAGCCATACAGAAAAATCTCTAGTTTTACAGAGTCGGGATTTGGAGCAATGGAAAATTGACAACAGTTCATAATGCGGACTTTGGTGGTCAACGTGCAGCTTTGCTACCCTATGGCTAGGATAAAGTCTCTCGCAACCTCTATCCAATGTTTGAGCAGAGAAGTCTTTAATATAAAAATGCCGTGCAGGGCAACTACATAAAAATAACTTCCTTCAATAGGATGAACAAAGTAATATCTTAAATGAGCAAGTTCCAGCAACATCACCAGATCGGTCGCTTTGGCCAGCAGATCCAACTCTACTGAAGTCAACGTCCGTGCACAAACGAAGCTGGGGGAGAGGTAAGAGGCTCTGGCTTGTTTCCAAAAGTAAGCGAAGGGTGAGGTATGTGATTAATTCCCCATTAGTATTCCAGTCACATTTCCTCCAAAGACGGGAAAGTATTTCAAGTGAGAAATCTTGCTTATCAAGCTGTTGAAAACATTTTTCCCTCAAAGTTTTCTACGCCTCACTTCTTCGAAGGCACTTTTTGAGTCCAGCACGCAGGCCTGGAGGCTGTCCGTGTACGCCACACCTGCAAATAGCAGCTAGCACTTCACGGGTAACTCATGGCCTGAGGCCTCCCTCTACCCATTCCCTGGAAAAAGGGGACCCCCACTCACTGCAGATAAAAATGAGGGTCACAGCAACGAGTTCATTTCACCTTGCAGGAAAAGCACCTTCCTACGTTCCCTTATTTCTCAAGGAGGTTTGGTACCTCTGCCTAGGATTTGATGGCTGACCTACAAGGGAAACTACACTGAGCTTCAACACTGTAGTTAAATATAAAATTTTCTTTTTTTTTTTTATTAAACAGATCTCAGACAATTTAGAGGTAATCCAAAGGGAGCAATATTATAAAAAGAAATCCTTGCAGCATTAGATATATCTTGAAAAGTCACAGTGCTAAAAATTAATCTAAGCAAGGCTAACTGGGGTATTTCATATACTGTCACTGCAGTCTGAATTGAAAAATGTCATATAATTAAACTGGTAATAGTTTCTACGCTTTTCATTTTGAAATGTCAGTCTAACTGCAACTCAAAAATACCTCAAGTATTAACTGAATACATACAAGAGATACTACTAATACACTTCAGGCCTCCTTTCTGACTTAATAACAAAAAATTCCATTTAAAAGTATTTTTAATCTATGAACAAAACATAGATAGCTTCTAAGAGAATAAGTTTTACTGAAGAATACACAGGATTAAAAAAGCAGGTCCGGTAACATTTAATCTCCAACCAATTACAGAAGCAAGACATTGAGATTTTAGAAAATGTGTTTAATTAATAATGCTCATTAACTGCACAGTTTTAATTCATAAATACAGATGTAAAAAAAAAAAACCTGAAATGTGCGATTCTTATTTTTAAATTTATTTCACTTTAATGGCTGCCTCTTAATACACTAAAGATGTGGAAATCAGTGCAACTTGAACAGTTGCCAAACAAAAACCTCTTAACAATGAAGTAATGCTCAGTGGAGTGTACGTTCATCTCTACCTTGCAGCTTCTTCTTGTAAAAGTTGCTACAGAAATCTTTGGTAGTATATTAAAACAAACCACCACCTCAAATAATTAATATAGACAAATAATTAAAGATTAACACGTTTTGTATTCATATTCATGCTGCAACACAAAATCCATTTCTGTATTCGGTTTTTTTTTTTTAATAAAAACGTCACTTAGGAAGTCATGATGGCTTGAAACTAGAGACGATGGGATCTCTTGCTTTGCACTGCAGTCGACAGCAGTTCTGCTACTGACCTCTGTGGGTGCAGGCACGGGCCCGAAGCGCTCACAGAAGTGTGAGGGATGGATCCAGTTAGTCTAATGCACTAGAAATGGTTCCTGACACTTTATCACAAACATACAGAAAAATATCGTACGAAAGCATACTATATAAAAACATTAAAACACCCCCGTCCCCTCTTAAACAAGAGAGGTGTGGAGTTTGCAGGGTTTCCTGCTGATTCTAGTCTGAACAGGAGCTCTTCTGAAATCACGACAATTAAAACACTCGTTAACATCATCCCACAGAGGGTCAGTCCCAATACAAACATCTTCTCTTTAGTCGCCCGTTTAGCAAACACTTTACTTTTACAGTATGTGTGCCATTGTCAGTGCAAGACCAGATTACATTGAGTATTAGAATAAATGCAGTGCGATTTCTTTCTCTCTTGGGACAAAACCAGTGAGTAAATCTTAACATGATAGGAATGTTTTAAAATGAAAATTGAAAACACATTTCACCGAGCCAGTATTCCTCTACGTACAGCACATCTAGAAAAAGCAGCATACCATCTCTGTGCACGTTTGCATTTAACTAAGTACAGTACAGAAGAAATGAAAGCCCGCTCTCTTAATGAAATAGGAACAAATATAACCTGATTGAAAAAACAAGGGGCCAAAATGTCTTTTTAAAGAAACAATGAAAAATTAAAAAACAACCAACCAAAGCAGAAGTAATGACTTGTGCATTTAGCATTTACCAAGGCACCTGGTTTTCCTCATTTTCCCAGTTTGAAATGTTAGAAACTCAAAAGGGTCACTGCACATAGTGCTTCTGCAGAGCTTCCACCATCCTTCTTGTCCAGACCACCTCAAAACACCAAATAACAACAAACGAGCTTGGCACAGACTGCCTTTAATGTTTTCCACGTCGGCCTTCAAAAGCACGATGTTCTCTGTGTGCTAAGGGAGAGAGAAGGAAAAAAGAATAAAAGAACACAAACTCTGTCAAGGAGTTGAAAAGATTAAAAAAAGAGAAGACAACAGTGTATAAAGCAGTCAAGGAAGACACAACATGCCAACGAGTGATCTTTGGAAATACGCTGTTCTGATAATACATCTATATAGAGCCTAAAATAAGAGATGCCTTAAAATCCTGACGGTAAACGGTTCCTCTAAATGAATACTTAAATTGAATGGCATGTAATCTTGAGAGTTATCAAGAGATTTGTCTCATTCATTTTACGAATCAGTCATATTAAACATGAAACCAAATATATTCTACAATTAAACTAAATATATTCTGAATGATAGCTAACTTTTATATTGACGGGACAAAATTTTAATGCAATGAGAGATGCTATGTTTCCAAATGGTTAATGATGAATCAGGCAGGATAGTCCCATGGAAATACTCTACACCGGCATCCTGTTTCTCTAACGAAGGTGGAAATTAACAGTACAAAATACTTACATTTATAAAAGACTGCTTTAAAAGATGTGTGCGGCAGAAGTTTATGTATCTTTTCTAAAACTTTTGCTTCACTTGCTAAAGATGCATTCACGTTCCAGACTTGCACAACATCTTCACGGTCACGAACGCTGACGCTAACCCCTATTACTTCATCATCTGCACAGAAGAGGAAGCATCATTAAGGAATACTTTAAAAGTGAGACATGTCTAATTTGATAGTTATGTGTTATGAAACAGTGCCCAAAAGCTGTACAAACTGCAGAAGGAAAGAGAGCCATCTCCAGTGAGGAGAATACCAATGTTCAAACCAGACAAAGTAGTTTCCAGAAAGAAACAAACACTGTATTTATAGAAGCTATTGGAAATATTACCTCATAGTGGTTTTAATAAAGTGCCATAGGATTACTCATCTTTGCTATTAGCACTCTTATACTTGATTAGAAGGGAACTGCAAGAGTCCCTTCAGTAAGGGTAGCAATATAAACTACTACAGGCAATTTACCTAGAGTAATGGCTGTAAGCAAAAATGGGGGGGGTGAGCGTGAAACAACTCAAACCCCAGGAACAGCACCTGGAGGAGATCAGACACCAGCTTTTCCAGACTTTGCTCTCTTTTTCCTTTTACATTTTGTCAAGGCAGCAACGGGGGTGGGGGGAAGGAAAAACAAAAAAAATAAAGCCACAGGCGGGCTGCTGCCGCTGCTGCTGGTGTTGGTAGCTCCGTGCTTCGCTGAAGAAGCCCTTTTCGGCGTGAAATTCTCCGGATGCAGCTGAGAGCTCAGCCTAAGGCCACGCCGCGGCTGGGAGCGGTGGCTGCCTCCAGCAGCGACCCCCATGGCGCAGCTGCACCGTGCGTCCTAAGGAAGGGGTCGGTAACCATAACGCAAAGGTGGTGTCAGGAGCACGTGGCCAAGGGGAAAAGCTACCTCGGTAAGCAGCAGAACGTCACAGCTTTGCTTAAACTGACCCCGAGACCACCCTATCAGTATAACGGGCGGGAGCGCTCCCTTTCTGACACCAACTCAGTGACACACATTAAGGATTTTGAAAAGCAACTATTAGAAATGTCTCCCGCAGCTCAAGGATTTGAGGCTTGTGTTCTCTGTCTTCCAATTCTGAAAGCTGGGAAGGCAACGAGAGAAATACACTACTTGGGAAACTCATTCAACAGCGCTTTTGTAGAAAAAGCAAAGCCACCAAGATGAATATACCAGCAGCAGCCTACTGCAATACGCCTGCTCTACCACATTAGCTAGGTGTAAGAGAAACTCTTTGAGAGGTTTTTGCTGAAATGCTCTGTGAACCTGAGAAACGCAATTCTTTCCTCTGGAATGATAGAGCAGTGAAGGAACGCTCCTAACGGGATATTCACCGTCACTGCGACAGCCAGTTTAATCGGATATTCATGCTTAGGAGAGAAGTAAATATGATCAAAAGAAACAACGGAGAAGTGTCATTTGAACCAAAAAGTTAGTCACTCCCAGAACAGCTTCCAGAACACCTTCCCTCTAGGCCAATGGATCAGTAAGTTCAGCATTCGCTTCACCCACAAGTAGGAACAGTTCTGTAACCGAACCCTAACGAATTAAATGGTCACAGACTGCACCTGCTTTTCATGACTAAGCAGCACCATGTGCTGCTCTGTCTTAAGCCAGCTAGCATTCACGGTCCCTTCCCGGAGCCCATTTCCAAATGAAATGTGCAACCTTGCAAGCCTAGTGAAGATATTTATTCTAAAAGCAACTTCGTTAAATTATTACCTCTGACCAAAATCACATGTGAGCTTCTGGATGATTAATGCCTGTTTTCCAGTAAACCAGCAAAGTATTTTAAGAATATTTATATAAATTCAATTACACTAAAGATTACCTTGACCTAAGCAGTATTTTTAAGCAATAATGAAAACACTGCTTCTGGGTAGAGCGCTAACCTGGCATTCAGGAGAGCCAGGTTTGTGTTATGGCCCTGCCACGCGCTTTTAACGTCACCACAGGCAAACCGCGCAGCTTCCCTCTGCTTCACGCCTGCACCAGCGCTTCCCCTGGCAACTCCTAACCAGAAGGGACCATGAGAGCTAATGGAGGCATCTATCTAATTGAGTTGCTTCCAACAGTGATAGCACAAACAATCTGTACAGAAGTGTCATTTGGGGTTCCAGAATCCTGTCATTGGGGAATTAATATTACTCGTTTAAATACTGGCTAACGGATAGATATCTAATAACTAGAAAACCTGCTGGCTTCCCAGGGATGCAAGCTGTTGAGCTTGAGTCTTGTGCTAACAGTCAGAACGCCCTGTCCTCCTCTTAATGACAACAGGTATGAATACGTTTTCCAGCCTACACCCCATTTTGAGCAGTGTTTCCATGTTCTGTATTCAAACCCGATTTGTCATGCTAGCCTCAATCATTTTTAAGTTACCTGCTGCACAACAATCTGTAAACTGCTCTCCAATAGTTGCTAACAGGAGCTCTTTCCAAACTGCAGCCTAAGGAGGAGGGGAAAAAAAAAAAAGTTACATTTGCATTATTATTTTTTAATTTAAAAGTTAGGTTTGCTAGCTTAGTTTTGAGTACATTCTCTTTCTGAGGTTGTCTAGACAAAAAAGAGTATTTATTGTAAGTACGCACCATGTTATATAATTAATTTCCTCAATCCAATTGGAGCAAGAATTTAGACGCTGAAAATACATACTGTTATACAGAATCGTTCTAATAAATGTTTTAAATATTTAACAATAAGTTTACCTTCGCTATATCTGTGTCCATGACTCATCCTGAGTGTGCTAGTTAATGTAAAGCCTGAAAGTAGATTTCTCCTAAGAATTTCCTGTGATAAAAGACCGTAAGGCTCCACTTGTGGTCACTTGTTTCTACAGAAAAGAATTACTAACCACTTTTCTTAAAGTACCTGAAAACCCTACCAGTAAATTAAATTGATTTATATTTAAACATCATCTCTGACTTGCTTTGACTATGAAATAAGTCCATCTTTCAACAAATTCAAATGCTCGCTAGAGAATTAAAACAGGGGGGAAAACCTATCTGCCACTTTGCCTTGGCTGTTAGACTAATTACACTGTTATTTGATTTTGACACTTGTTATCACCTAAGCCAAAGCCCATGCAAAACTTCAAATGCATCTGGACCAACGTGATGCTCCAATGTGTGGGTTTACAGGGACAGAATATTTTTATGTATCTATTTTTAAAAAAACCCACATCAACACGTGTATTTGTTTATAACACCATAATGACTTTTTCGCACGCTACTTTTAAGGAATGTCTGCTACATGAAGTTAGCTTGAATTTTAGTACTATTAAAAAAACCAGCAAATCAAACGCCCCAGGTTAAAACAAAAAGCAAGCAGCCACGAGGATGACAAACTATCAAACTGCTTTAATGGCGTTCCTGAGTATTCCTAAGCCATCTTTTAGAATACAAAGGATTTCTGTGACTCATTATCATCCTATCCGACGCATCAGACAAAGCTGCACTATGGGAAGGACCACCCCATGCGATGGCTCCCGGGGCGGGTTGAAGACGTCAGCGTGACAGCGCCTGACACGGTGCCTTTTGCCTGCCGGTGGCACGGCTCCTGCACCGATGATGGGCCTGACCACGCACACTCTCTTTACCAGGCGCGGTGCTCGCTACCGTGAGTTGTCCTAATGGCCTCAAGGGTAGGAAGCACTTCATCCAGCAGTAAGCAGTTGCAGGACCAGGCTTATGAGGATCTAAAAAGTATTAGTTTTCGTATTAAAAATTGGCATACAGAAGTGTCACTGTACACATGCAACAACATTTAAGTGTCAGTATTTTGTCAGTCAGTTTTTCATACCACTTGAAAGACTAGCAATCTTTAGAAAAAAAACATTTCCCTCCCTGCACAGCCTCACTGAGCGCTGCTACAGCGTTAGCATCTCCTTGAGTTATGCCTGTACGCGATGGCTCATCTTAGCCAAGAAGATGCTGTATACACGTGATGATTCGAAGAACGAAGCCAAAAATGAGAAATAGGCATAAAGGTATTATTTATGCTATTTACAGAGGCACTAAAAGCTGGCTGAAGTTCACCTTCAGTTAAACCTTTCAGAAGTGACCTGGGACATGTGGTACGTAGTTTGAGAGATCAAGAAGTGCCTTCGTTTCAAAAAACGGGGCTGTCATTCAGCCTCTGAAAAACAAGGCCTCCGAGGTCCCTAAATTCACCACCCAGTAACGCAGGCTCCCCAAACCACTTGTTACTTCTGACAATCTTCACAACTTGGATTATAAGAGGAAAAAGAAAATTTCAGTCTTTTCTGATCCCTTGGGACTGCAGCGGGGGAAAGCTGCAATTCCCATACAGGCAAAAAAGCCCACAGGCAAAAATCAATTAACTTTTGGCTGAAATTTCAAGTCCCATCTTCCAGCATGTAATGCCTTCTGCAAAGCTATCACATTTTTCTGACACTTCACTTTTCGTGTTTAAAGCCCTGATCCAGAACACACTTACACACATAAACACCATGTGTGAGGAGGTCAAATCTCCTCTCCGTGACAGTTCACAGGAGAGGTTCCTCACATGTGTTTGATTAGGGGCACAAAGAGAAACCCAGTTATTTTAGCGGGGCTAGAACAACGGCATGCCTGAACAGGTTTTATCTTTCACATTTTTAAATTCAAAAAAGAGGGAAAAAAACCTGAGCAGCACTACAGTTTCACAAGATGCACACAAGGTGGTCTGACAACTCACTGTTGCCAAAGGGGATGATCCTACTTGTCTTTTCTCCTTTACCCCCTATGCCCATCAAAAAAACTCTCCTGGCCATACACTCAAATTAAAAATACAATAAAAAGGAGACTTTTTGTGACATCAGAGTGCATTAAGCATGTCTCACAAAACAGTCCGATAAGCACCAGAGCCAGTGCAAGAGGGATCAGGAGAGAATGAGCAAGATCCTTCCCCTTCCAGTAGGAGCAAGCCATGAGACAGGATTAGCTATCGCTGGAAATGAAGCCTTGGTCCATGTTTGGCTACAGAAAGTGACAGCACCACTCACAGCCGTACATAAATGCAAACAAGCAGTGCCAAGCAGAAACAGTCCTACTGAGTTTAACAGAGTTTAGGAGCATTTCAGTGAAACTCTGCAAGTTGTGCTGGACTGTGTGCATTGACTTTTGAAGAGCATTACTGAGGTTCTGGCTACAATTTAGCATAGAATATTATCATGAAAAGATTTTTATATTTTTCGTTGCATGCCTGTAAGCAAACAGTCTTGAGAGCACAGGTGTTTATAAAATACTGTGTTTCAAAATGGAAACGCAGGCTTCATTTGCTTGATACATCGATAAATGTTATCAAAAGCAAGAGAGATGGAATTACCTGAAAAGAAACTTTTGCTCACTGTCTTAAAGTAAAAGGTTATAGATGTTAAAATAGTGTTAACAGACGTTAAAATAGTGTTTGGTGGTTGTGTTGGGTGATGTCAGAACTAAAAAGCTTTACAACAGCTTTATTAGATGGAGTTTAAAGAAACCCCCTTACTGAACAATGTCTAAGTAAAAAGTCAATATAACATACCGTACTTTCTTTAGGGACCTTCATTTTCCATATACCTCCTTTGGCGTTGCTTTCTTCTTCCCTGGTTATGGGAAATAGATCAGTAAAATAAACATTCAAATCCACATCTAGATAAACCTATGTTTAGGGTTTAATTTTCCCAGGAAAAAAAAAAAAAAACCCAAACATTTGAAAGGCAATTACTAACTCCAGGTAGCATGACTCAAGCTATGACATTAGAGATAATTCTTTCATTGTTCATATGAAGTGTATCTCTAAACACCTAATCCCTTTCCTAAGTTTTGTGTGTTGGAAAATACTTACATTTTCCCTGACCACAGATCATCTTTGAAGTGGCTACAACTATATGGGAACAAGCCACAAAGCAATTTTATGTTTTACTTCGGTAACCTTTTATTTTGGAAAAAACCCTGGCATATTTTCACAGAAGCAGCTTACTACTCTCAAGTTTCTCCAGTTTAACAAGAGAACACGAGAGCACTTCGTTTCACTTCAGTGACAGCTAGAAATTAATTGTCCTTATTAAAAGAAAGGCTGAAGCTGCCCAGGGTCAGGGCAGACATAACCATTAAACTGCCTCATAACGACAAAGGTACAATGTACAAACCTGTGAGCTTCAAGTTTATTCTGTCACAATTCTTTTAATAAGATTTTAAATTAGGGTTCTATTTTCCTGTTGAAACTCTGTAATAGCAAAGTTGAAGGAATAACCTAAAACTTATCTTTGGAATATCTAAGCCCAGTATGAGACCTATAGAGATTCCCCAGGGTCAATTGGCCTCCCACCAATCCAGACAAACACTGGGGAAAGGAGCAGGAAAACTTTGGAAGGACACCTTCAAAAACCTGCAGTCCTCAATTCTTACTTCAGAATTTGGTTTTCTTCCTAAAAAACAATGCTGCTATTAGCCAGTATACTGTAACTGTAATCTGAGGAGAAGCTTCTTGGCAGCAATTACTGAAAAGTTAGCGGGTTACTCATGAGATCAACCTCTTGCAATCCCTTTCCTAAAATACAGCATCTGCATTTACTTTGACAGTCTTAAAACCAATGTAGTATTTTCAGAAAAGATCTTTGCATTTCACACCTTTAGTAGTCACTTGCCAAATCAAAACTAAAAATAGAAAAACCCAAACCCAAGATGTTCTCACTCATCCTTACAAAGATATCAAGACCTGCACACAACGGCCCGGCTGATTTACACAGACACCAATATTGCTTTCAAATCCAATTTAGCTATCCCGACCAGTCACAGTATTTGTAGAACAATAATGTAGACCTTCAGATGCATTTCACTTGAGAAAGTTATTTACTTCTTCAGTAGATTAGGACAGAAACCCCCTGTAGTAAGTCATCACGCAGTCAGACATACTACAATCAAGTTAAAGACTCCAATCCAATCACAGTCTATGCAAATGATGCCAGAAAGATCAAAACTCTTCAGAAAGTGCTTAGGCTATCTAATTAAGATGTGACGGACCTGCACCAGGAAGAAGGTATGCAAAACTCAATTTCTGAAAGGGAAACCTCAGTGATTTATACTTTATTCCATTACTATCCTACAATCAAGTAGGAATTTGCTGCAATGAATCACTTCATAATGCCTTAACTTAGTTTTAATCCCAGGTATATGTGCATTTATACGCTTTTGCACAGGTGAAGAACAGTTAAGGACCATCAGTCATTTGCATCATTGTTACACTAGCTTCAGTGGAAAGAAAAAAAATAACTCAAATAGAAGTAACATATTCTGCATATTCTTGAATTGAAATTGAGGCATATTTTAATTTCTTAATTTCTAGTTCATAATCTAATTTCTTTCTTACATTTATGTCCAGAGGTGGATAATTAAATTACAGTCTGTGTTGTCAATAAAGACACTTTAGTACAAGTCACTTTTAAGCTTAACAAGATCCTTAGGATATTTCTTTTGTAGGTCTCTTAAGTTCAGGCATTTGCAGGCAACAGAAACGAGCCACTCCTGCCCCACACCTGCCTCCTTTCACCACTTCAGGCTTTTTCACTGCCCGCTCCCAGAAATGTCTAATGATAACATACGTACCAAAGCGGCCGTCTTTCTCCCCGCATTAAATGGTAACTACATCTCAGAGGCAAATTTGTCACGGGGGGAATGTTGTTGTAGACACTCCAGAAATCCTTAAAAAGAAAAAAATATTAGCTGCATTAACACAAAAGAGTAAGTTTCATGCAGATTTACCTTCCTTGTTCATTTTCTCTAAAGCAATTACGTATCCTGCTCCTAGAGAGCTGGCACCTTCTACGTTATAATAAAACGCTCTGAAAAGAAATTGTTGCAGTTTCACCATTTTTCTTTTTTTTTTAGATGCCAATTCTGTATAAGGTGGAGGTAGAAAGAAGTTGAACTGTGGATTACTTTAGAATCAAAGTCCTTAGGAATAGAGAGGAAAAAGTCCTCAAAACCAGAGTTACACTAAGCATATCAGAACAAACCAGTACATAAAACTTTCTTAGCATATTAAAATATATACTTACATCAAATATCCACCTTGTTTCACTTAAGACTAGTCTCAAACTTCATTATGATCATCTTGAGTTACAAAAACACCACCAACACTAATTCTGTTGAACTAAATGCCTAACTAGCAATGGAACTACTTAGTCTAGATCACAGTGAAAAGTAGATTGCAGATGCAAAGAACTTGAGATGCACACATTAATACAGGAATGGGGGAGAAATTAAAAGATCGAAGTTACCAGGAACCATCAGATTACTTCCCAGCATTTATGCTGGCAAAAGCAGAAGCTGTCATGCATGTTTGGGGTGGATAAAAGGCACCCAAAAGCAGTGGTGAGCAACAGGGAGGGATCATTGAAAAGATCCCAATCCCCTTTCTTCTTTATTCAACAGCTGGAAATAAGAAAGGATTTTTAAAGACTTATGTTGCATCAACATGTAGGGATGCAATATTAAGCATTAGTACAACTCATTAAGTATTATCTAATACTTAATCATTAGCACAGCTTTAGAAACAAAGATTGCAACATTATGTGATAAAATTTTGTGGCCCTTGGCAATTCTACCTACCAGGCATTACCATTACCCAGCCACAAGAAAGTATGGAAGACTATTAAAAATACAAAAAAGTGGTATGAAACACCCATTTCAACTTTAACCTTACTCTTACCTGGTTGCGTGCCCAAACCCTACAGCTACCAACAGAAGCAGAAGGAGCAGAGCTACACCAGCAGATGACTGTGGAAATATTTGAGAGTTGTTGTGTCCCGAACGAGGGACTTAGTTTAGAAGGTTTTGGTTTTCAAATATCCTTCAGGT